CGTTTGACCCGAACGGCTGGCCCATTCTAACAAAAAAATAAAAAATTTAAAAAAAGAATAAAAATTTGAAAAACGGTTAAAATTGTTCAAACGATTAACCAGCCGGTTCAGCAGTTTGCTGACCAAAATCAATGGTTTTAAGGAAAAAAACGGTTTTGGAGGAAAACAGAACCAATCAGGTGACCGATTTCCGGTTTTTCCGGTCCAACCATCTGATCCGGTCCGGTTTTGAAAACAGTAGTTTAAAGTGTCATTTTCTTAGAAAATGTTTATTTGAAAAAACGCCCCATCAGGAAACGTCCACGAAACCAAATATATACATTAACTCATAGAAAGTAACTTTCAAATTTAAATTTGTCTCACTTTTAATCTCTCTCATTAACTCTTATATTTAGAACAAATATTTAAATTCTATTTTTTCTAATTAATTTTCTCATATGACATTAAATTTCCCTAATTACTATGACCTATAAATTTTTGGTATAGAAACTACAAGAATGTTTCAACCTTGACATTTAGATTGAAAGACAACAAATACGACGTTATATTATGCTCCAATTACTTTTCATGGTAACATGGATTTGAATCTTAAAACATTTTCTTCTTTGTGGATGTTTGTTAATAAATGTTTAAAAAATGATTATTAAAATTCATATATTATATATATTAACTTAAACTATACTGATTTTCCTAGAATTAAGATATATGCATGTATATTTTAGTTCTTACTTAGTTTTAAACGTTTACCACTTGTAACTCAATAGTTCTCATTTCACATAAATCATTAATATATGTGATTATTATGTTTATATGACTTGTTTATAGTCAACTAAGACTTATATTTAATGGTATTGATATATTTTTGGGATTTATTTGGATTTTCTTACTTATTGTGATCTTTTCTGGTACCTTTGTTCAATAATTCATAACAATGGAGAGATTGAAGAGGATGTTGTCCATATAACTAGAGCAAAACAGGAAAAATGGAGGGGTTTATCCGAAGTTATGTGATAGGCAAATACCACTTGGATTAAAGAGAAAATTTTATAAAATGATTGTAAGGTTAGCAATGTTGTCTAGAGAAAAGTGTTGAGCAATTAAGAAACAACATGTCAAAAAAAAAAAAAAAGTGTTGTAAAAATGTGTAGAAAAACTAAAAAGGACACAGAAAATGAAGTCGTTCAATGATTCAAAGGAACCGAGAATTAGCTCCAATAGGTGATAGAATGATACAAAATAAACTAAAATGGTTTGCATTTCATGCATAGAATATCAACCATATAACCTATAAAAATAAGTGAAATATTACAATTACTTGATAGGGCTAAAGGGGCCAGGGCAAGCCAAAAATGACATGAACTGTAGCAAGAAATTATTTAAGCACTTATAACTTAATAACAGATATGACACTAAAAGGAATCAAATGTCAAAATATAGGACTCATATAGTCAATCCCATATACTTGAACAGATGATCCATGCATCTCTAGAGTACTAGAACGATACATCTCTTAAAATTGCCTTTTTCAATATTTCTTGTAGTTTTAATACTTTGACCGTGCATAGAATTTGAGATAAGATTGGGTTTATATGTTCTATTAATTTGGGACTAAGACTACCTTGACCCAAATAGACATAGCTCATTGACAGCCTTTCAAAAGCATCTTTCCTAGTTAGAATGGGAAAATTTATTATACTAGAAAGACATGTTATCCGATGAGCTTTGACCAATCAAAGCAACTCCATAAATTTTGATGAATACCACCTGATTGATCACCTCTTTTATGATCCCGTTGATTGACTATAAATTTTTCTGACATCATGCCTAATAATGACTAATAATAACTGAAAGACCAAATAGCTTAAACATATATGGCCTTCTAGGATTTTCTAGATAGCTGATCATTCATGTGAAACCTATTTAATGGTGAATCAAGATCCTCTATACATGAGACATAGTAATTGATAGGAGAATTATATATGATGAGGGCCACTCATTTTGACATGGCTCTTTTCCTTTTATTTTATACAGGCAAGTAAATTGATGCAATGCATGGGGTTGAAGAGAAATTTGGCCAGGTTTAAATTGGAAATTTTGGGTTTTGACATCAATTACTGGGTCCATGTTTACAGTTGGTCTTGCATTGGTCTTTCTTGACCCAATCCATCTATTTTATAGTTTTACACTCTTGCTCTATTAATTGTATGGAGTAGAGTATTGGGTAGTCAAGAAACAATATGTCTAAAAAATGAGTGACATAAATGTATATGTTGAGATAGATGAGTGGAAAACTAGAATGAATAGAATCAAAAATGAAGTCACTCATAGGAATAGAGTCAAAAAGGATAGAATGTAAGCTATGCCGGATTGGCCTTGTGCACAAAATGCTATCAATAAAAGAAGTGATTTATTACAAGTTGAAGAGGCTAGAAGGACAAGGAGTAGGCCCAAAAAGATATGGGTAGAAGTAGTAAGAAATTATCTAAGCACCAATAGTTTAACAATGGATATCGCATTAAATATGATAAACCAACAAATAGAGCTGTAAAGTGGGTCATGTTGTGCTGGCACAACACGATTTTGTGGGACACCTGTGCTTTAACAGCCGTGTTGTGCAAGCACGTGGGCCTGCATGGATTGTGCCTGCCTAGCTTGGAACTCTTCAAAGGTCAAACCCGGCATGGCCCGTGGCACGAGCCCAAGCGGATCCATGCCAAGCCAGGCTGTGGGAAGCATGATTTAAAAAAAAATGAAAATTAATGAAAAAGTTAAACTAAATTATAAAAATAGATAAGAAATTGAAAAAATCTTAAAATTGAAAATAAATAAATATATAGGCAGTATTTGGGCCAGGCGGCACAATCCACTTTACAGCTTTACTAACAAAACAGCAAATGGGATTTAATGGAAAAGGGTAAAAGTTACAAACATTGACAATTGAAGAGAGAGGCAGAGAGTTTTAAAATGATTTTATTAGAGAGTAATGATGGATTTTATTAGAGAAAACTAAAAAGGGTTTTATTTGACTTTTCATGTTTTAATAAATGAATTTAAAAATAAATAACCACATGTACAGTAAATGAAGGACAAGGAGGCCCATATAAGCATCAAGGCGAGAGGACACTCGGCCTCCTATATAGATATGTTTTGCAAGATCCAGGCTTAGCCTTGGGCAGTTTGGACCGACCTTTGGTTCCTTTTGAGTTTTTAATATTTTGGTATTTGAGACAAGAATTTTGACAAATGTTAATTAGTTTATTAATATTTTATAATATATTATATTTGTTTATCTTATGTTATTTAAAAATATACTCAAAATTTAAGGTGAAATAAATGTCCAAAATCCCAAAATTTTAGATGAAAAGTCAAAATTCCAACCCAAATAGATCCACTGAACAAATTTCATATTTTAATTTGTGGTGGTGTTAATTAAAATTTCATAAACTTCACACAAGAAAAAAAAGGGTAAATTACAAGGACCCCCCCCTACTATGGGGTCAGTGGCAAAGACCCCTTAAACTTTGGCCATTAGACAAAGACCCCCTTCGGCCGTTAAGTCAGATGACGGAAGACGTTAAATTACTAAAATACCCCACTAAACTTTTTGAATTTTCTTTTTATTGCCATTCTCTATTAAAACCTAACTGACCCAAAAATACCTTTAATCGTTGCGAAAAAAGGAAAATTTCTAACTTTGTTTGAAGCGACTGTTTGTGGGAATGAGGAGCATGGGTATCACCCTCTATCACTAGTATCCACCAGTTACAAGAATCAATCATCGTTGTGGTCACCGGTGATTTAATCGGAGATGTTTTCTCACCATTCAAGTAAATATGAAAAGGGTAATTTGGAGATTTAAAAAAATTAAAATAACTGAATAAGAATCTTTTTTTAATCTAACTGACGGAACGTTGATGGAAGGGGTCTTTGTCTAATGGCCACAGTTTAGGGGTCTTTGTCGCAAAAAAAAGTATAGGGTCTTTGTCATCGACCCCATAGTACAAGGGATCCGTGTAATTTACCAAAAAAAAAAATACAACAAACGTATAAAATAAGAAAAACATAATTTTGTGGGTTTAATCATTTCTGTTGAAAAGCATAAGAGAAACAAGCTGAATGTACATTGTATTTGATATAGATTAAAGACTGATAGATTTGAACGATTCATTAACCAGCTCGGTCTTATAAACAAATAGTAAAGCTACAACAGTGCCCTCATTATAGTAGCAACTAGTCAATAACTCTTTGCTAAGCATTAATAACTATTTTAAACAAAATAATGTATAACATATACAGTAGAATGCCTAATTTGGGGGGTGGGGGTAATTTGGGCACATCTCTTTATGAACAGGGCAAATCCTTGGTGAAAGACAATGAGACCGCTGTTGATGTACTGTTGATAAAAGACTCAGTTTTGTATTATTTTGTATGCATTTGCATTGTATATATTTTAATTTATACTCCTTCCAAACTGAGCTTAAGCTGTGTTTGGTTGCAATGCAATTTTATTTGCATTAATACAAATACATGGAAATTGCAAATGAAAAGAATTCAAATTCTGATTTACTTTTGTTATGGGTTTTACTTTTTTTCTGAGGTCTTATTTTACTTCAATTGTATTTCAATGAAACAAAATAAGATAAATTTTGAAATAAAAATAAATCATAATTTACACCAATATCATTTGACTATAATGATTTTGCATCAGTACAAATAAATTGGCATTGCTACCAAACACAGCCTAAAGGTCAAAACGGGATCCAGGTAAATGTGAACCCAAATGTAACCAACTTGTGAAGGACAGAAAACTGCAGCCAACGGATGGCTCTGGGCCTCTGGCTATCATTTTTAATACCATATACGTTCCATACTTTCTTGGTATGGAATCTCTACAACATTGATCAGAGTTGCTTTCTATGTCAGGAGATATGCACATGTAAATCTCTCTGATTCTGATGGAGCACCTGGCAAAAGAAAAAAAAATCAAATATTTTACGAGATCATACCTAAAATGTATGTATTATTATCAGAAATGGAAAACCAACATAATGTCTTCAGCCCAGTTTGGCCAGGATAAACTATACTCTTCAATAAAACAAAGGAACCAGAAATAAAAGAGAGGCAGGAAACAGGCATTGATCACCCAAAACTGAAACTTAAATAACACCTCCACTTCACCATTTTACTTCACAATGCAGATCTTTATGACAGAGGCAATTCCTATACGATGCAGTGCCACAACTGCATCTCCTGGCTTGCAAAGCCCCCTCTTCGTTGCTGACTTGAGAGCAGCTTCCAGGATCACCTCCGTGGACTCTGCATCCGTAGCCTTAGCAGATCCTTCAGCAAGCAGCGGGACCAGACCTCTGTAGACCAGGCTGTGCCTTGCTGGGGTCTCATCGCTGCATGTCCAGCCAAATGAATCTGTTGCCAGAACAGGGACCACCACAGAGAGGATTGGGACTGCAGGTCTGTACTTGGCTACCAACTTCGCCGTGGTCCCACCACGGGTCAACACAACAATAAGGGTTGCTTTGGCTTTGTTGGCTGTTCTGACTGCCGAGGAGGCAAGACTCTCCAATGGGCTCATTGGAAGAGGAGTTGACCTGATCATTTCCTTGAAGATGGCACCATAGTCAAGAGAAGATTCTGCTTCTACGCAAATACGAGCCATGATCTTCACAGCAAGCTCCGGGTAGGCTCCAGCTGCACTCTCACCACTGAGCATGACACAGTCGGTGCCATCAAGAACAGCATTAGCAACATCAGTAGCCTCAGCACGGGTAGGACGGGGAGACTTAATCATGGATTCAAGCATTTGGGTGGCAGTGACCACAGGCTTGCCCACAAGGTTGCATTTGTAGATCATCATCTTCTGAGCTAGGAAAATCTTCTCAACTGGGATTTCCATTCCAAGATCACCACGGGCAACCATAAAAGAGTCTGTCTCACGTAGGATCTCATCAAAGTTGATAACTCCTTCCTGGTTCTCAACCTTCAAAATTGAACAATCAAAACCTATTATTGGACACCAAACAAGGGAAAAAGACCTCAATATAAACAATGAATTCCGTACATAGGAATTCTAGATAAGTCTTCAGGACCAATGTCCAATGTGTCATGCGACATTCAAAAAGTCTACAGCGCTGACCTACGGCAACTGTATGGTCAAAAATTGATTGTAACAACTAGAAACTGGCCCCTTTCCCTGGATTATTTGATACAAATATTTCACCTAGCCAGAAGAATGTGAAGTTGAAAGAACAATTCTAATCAAAACCAAGGTTTTCCTTATGCAGGGTTGAAGGTATTTGCCCATACTATGGTTGAATCCTCTTTTATTCATCAAATGAAGGACACAACAAAGCTCTATTCCATTTTAATCCAGCAGGGTAATTATGCATTCAAAGAACTCTGCATACCTTTGACATCAGTTGTATGCGCTTTGCATGGGGTCCAAGAACCCGTCGAACATTGACAAGATCTGAGCCCTTGCGCACAAATGACAGGGCAATGATATCTATGTTGTTAGGAACACCCCACTCCAATATGTCTTCCTTATCCTTCTCCGTAAGTGTGGGAAGATCCACCACAACACCAGGGAGATTGACATTCTTCCTCTCACCTAACATAGCAGTGTTCTCACAGCGGCATCTCACAGTTCCCACAGCAGGGTCACAAGACAAGACATTAAGAGTGATGGTTCCATCTGCACATAGAATGGTATTGCCAGGCTTCAAGTCCACAGCAAGCTTTTTGTAACTCATAGAAATCATCTCAGTGTCCCCCTTGATGGTGTAGTCGGTAGTTACTGTGATTTCCTGACCCTCCTTAAGTTGGATAGGTTTCCCATCCTTTAGGAATCCAGTTCGAATTTCAGGTCCCTGACAAAATGAACAAAGAGGTATTGAGGAGCAATGTAGAATTTCTAAGCAGTTTCAAAATGAATCTCTTAGTAGACACAAGAAAAATTCATGATCTACACCCAGTTTGGTAATAGGTAAGCTGTAACCATACCCAGTAACAACTGAAAAGTAAAATTACAATTGAAATTTATAAGAACATTTTAATTCAGGCAATGAGATTGGAAACTAAATGAAAATCAAGAAAACATTCTTTCAATATAAGATATATGCACTTATCTCGGGCATTGATACATGATGAAGGATTCACTTTTCAAGTCATAATCTGTCCAAATACCCTTATAAGGGAATAGGATAAGAAAATTAAACAAGTCCAGATTATAATAGTATTTTATCATTTTCTCCTGAACTATGCTTTTCAAAATTTCCCTTAAAGTGATAGTACATTAGGCTCCATTTGGAAGGAGTACAAATGCAAATATGCAGAGTGCAAAACCTAATATTTTCTATGTATTTGCACTGTACATATTCGCATTTGTACTCTTTCCAAACTGAGCCTCAAGTTCTTTTAATTCTGGAAAATTTTTATTGAAGAAGCTTGGGCAATCCAGGGCCTTCTGGAATAGTGGGAGTAATAAGGGATGAAAAATGAGGCATACTTGCAATGTACTCTGGAACAATAGGTGAAGGAACTCAACAAGGGCAGAACACTTGGTGGCAGTTTTTGGAGTACAGAAAGCTAATGAAATGGGAGTGCAGAAATTGGTTACTTGAGGCAATTTCAATGCTGTGATTAGCTGGTTGATGAGGGACAACAATGATTTATGGACCTACAAGTATGAAACCAGTCATTTTAAATGGTGATCAAGGAATATGCAGCTCACAATTCAATGGGTTCAAAGATCAGCTAATAGAGTAATAGTTTGGCTGATGCTTTGGCTAGACGAGGGGTCAACAGGCAGCAGGCCAGCAGCTTTTTTGGGCTCAACTGTAAAATAAATAAATCCTTTGTGGGGAGAGGTAGGACAGTAGCAGGGGCTATGCTCTCATGAAATGCAATTATGTTTACAAGCACAATCTTGTGCTGCAGCCATGTTGTTACACTTATTTAATAAAATTTCTGTTAATTATCAAAAACAATAAATGGATTAGATTTTTTTTGATAAATATAAATAGATTAGATTTATCGCATAGTGACCTGGAGACTCTGGATAGGAAGCTAAGGCAAATATCAGATTATGTAGAAAAAATGCTATCAAATTAAATAGATATTTTTTCATCTGCTGTCAGAAATTGACACAACAGCCATTTGTTTCACCTTTTATTAATGATTACCCTGCTCTGCTTCCAAGGAAATAGTACGAGGCTCTCCATGAGCATTAGAATATCATGGTCATGAATAAGTTTAATGAGCAAGATTATAATATTTCTCAATTCAACTCAACTAAGCTTTGTCCCAACTATGTGGGGGTGGCAACATATATTGACAAAAAATTAAAAAAAAAAATCAAAATTAGCCATATAAAAAAAAGTTCAACAACAATATAACCACTAGTTACTAGGTATTCTTCATTTCTATCATATTGATACTTTATGAAAAACTTGTTACTCTGACTTTGACTGATTTGGTTTGGGCATATCCCAATTTTTAAAAAGGGAGCATAGCACTAATCATTGATCAGAGTATATGATTTAAAATACAAAAACAACTGCATTTAATCTTTTATTATTACCAACAGTAGTTTCTGCCTTTTCACTAGGAATGAACCCACCAGATGTTAATTATTCTGTAACCATCAAATGTCAATTTACATAACATTATACATGAAACCCGGATATGGAAAAGGACAAGATTCGATATGGCATCAAAAATAAATTTTGCACTAAAAATTTAAGTATCAGACATGATGCAGCACCCTTGTACAGGCATTGTCTAGGTGATGATTTTTTATATAAAAAAAATTGAGTGATTTTAGTTTATATCCCTACTCTCTCTTATGAATTAGCTTTTTTTCTCTAATTGCTTTAGGCAATTGGAAAACATTAAAAGTGATCTAACATAAAAGAATCAAATACTAAAAAGTAGAATTAAACAAAATGAAAGAGCAAAGCCCTTGTTCTAGTCATAGTTAGAAAGATAGACAGCAGTAAGAGAAAAGGCAAAATGAGGAGCAAAGCCAATCTTATGACTCTTTAGGCTTAGCTGACTAAACCTAAAATTATTAGACTTCCCATATGAAAACACCAAAGCGAGGCACAAGGTGATCCAAAAAAAAATTCATTAGACTTCCCACTGAAGATTGATCACAAGCATTTATCAGTGATATCATCTCTGAGATAGTATATGATAGAAGTTGTACCACCAAAGCAGAATATGCTAAAGATATCATGTTAAATTCATTCAATTTCTTTTTACTCAAAACAAACAAATAGAGTATATGTATAGCAAAAGTTTTCTTGCTAGAGAAGAAAACTGTCATTTAGTGGCTACCTACAAAAATTAAAATCACTTAATTTTTAAGATAGTTAATCTAGGTGGTGCTTTTCAATTCAATTGTTTCCATGAGGTAGTTTTCTCAAGAAAACAAGCCCCTTGTAGTTAATGCTTATTAACTATTCTCACAATCAGAAAACAGTGAAAACTTGTTTTTCTTTGTTGATTATTTTTTATTTCAGGAACCAGGAGTAGGTCCCACTCCTACATATTAACTCAGCAAAAGATATGGAAAATAGATAAAATGAACCCCATTGAGATGACAACTTGTTTCCAGATTCTGGAAGACTATTTCTCTTCACAATAGAAAGCTTCCCAAATTTTGAAATCAAAATTGAGATTGGTGAATGGGTTTCTGCATTTTGTGCTGGAAATTCATTGCCAGCAATACCAGTGGTAAACAGAAACTGACCACAGTAGGGAACACACCCCTAGAGAAACCCTAATTGCATTTCCCATGAATTCTCTCAAATCCTATGCTAGTATAGTAAATACATATATTCCCATGCTTTTGATTGATTGGAAAGCTACATTGCACATATCCACAGACCTTCAAATCCAAGGATCATTAACAGCAGACGGCTTCCATATAGTTACTCATGTTTAAGCAATGTTTTCAACCCATCATTGACCCGATCAGTCAAACCGCTGACGCAAACAATTCTGGTTCTAGTCAAACTCCAGTCCATCATATTAAAGAAAACCATTGGCTTGGTCAATGACCCATCAACTTGAATTGCTGAACTATTAACCCAACTGATTCCATATAATAAGGTCAGCGGTTTTTGTATTATTGTTTTTTTATAAGTATTTTTTGTATTAATTGTTTTACTTCTTTTGTTGTTATGATCTCACAGGTTGACCCATTGACCCAAATGGTTGAACCAGTGACCCATTGGCCTGAAGGGAAGACAGTTCAGCTTCCGGCATATAGAATGTAAAATGGATTTTGGACCTGGATTTGGATATGGAACAATAAAAGATTTAGAAGAATAGTAGAAATGCATCTAACACTTTCCAGAAGAATAGTTTCCCTATTGTTTTTATCCTTCTGAGAAAAACAATACTGCTAGTACTGAGCTTTGTTTCAAGCTCATTGTAGGGAATAGAAAAGTAGCCTTTAATGGTATGGAATTGTCCACGAACACGATAAATAAATTCATTTACCCAACCTCATACATATGCCATAATGCACTGTTGAGTTGACTTGAGTATTATTTTAAAGAAAACTAAATTTTATTCTAGAAAACATCTGCTCGCTTCAATCTTTCTGCCGATGGTTCTAAAAACTTCTGACCATAGAACATCCAGAATTTAAATGATCCAACTCTCACTTAACAAAATACTTCACATGATTGTAAATACTTTTAGAAAACAAAGAAATCAGCAAAGATAAAAATGCAAGAAAAAAAGAAAGAATTTGAAAAGAGGAAAAAGAAATATAATGAAACTTGGTTCAAGAGTATGAAGGGGCTAGATCTTGTGCTCTATTACAGGGGCTTGTTTTCATTTCTCTTCTCAGTACTTTCATCTCATTCTATTATAAATGAAGTGGCTAACCTTTTACCAATAAAACACACAAAGAGAGTGAAATTAAATAAAAAGAAAAAGAACGAAAGAAAGAAAGAAAGAAAAAAGAGAGAGACATCTCTCTAAAGCAATCTGACTTATAACAATTCCATCATTACCCACTGAAAGCACTGAAACAGAAATAAGCAGAATTCAGAGCCTATATCGACCTCAGTATCACGCATGACAAGCACACAGTATGGCACTGTCCATTTATAGGATTTATTCTAAAACTGTTCTAAATATCGACTACGATACCCGAAAATTTATTACCAATCAACCGGTATCATAAAAGTAGTAACCAATCATGTGGTATTCATCAAAACACACGGAGGGTAAAAAAGGATCGAACACCGGAGCTAGGAAGAAATTTCAAACCTACCTTGGTGTCAAGCATGACAGCGCACAAGATCTGAGTGTTCTGCATTGCGATCTTGAGATTGTTCAACGTCTCCTGATGATATTCATGAGTTCCATGTGAGAAATTGAACCTGGCAACACTCATTCCTGCTCTCAGAAGCTTCTCGAGCATAGGCACGGATCGAGAAGCCGGACCCAGCGTGCATACAATCTTTGTCTTCGGAATACGGCCATCGTTCGGCAGTTCCTTCAAGATCCCATCGATATCAATGTTCGCCATTAGTCAAACAAAGAGAAAACTTGGTTGTCGATGGAAAACCCCACAAACACCTGTGCTCCAAGCCCTGAAAACCAGAACAGAAAAGAAAAATCAAACGAAATCTCAGAGAAAATGACAATCGCAAGACCATTGAAGACTACAGTAAAGGCTTTCGTTTAGGTAATGAGATTAGTCCAAAAACCAGTCCTAATAATAGAAACCTAGTTGGCTCTCAAAGAACACGGTATCAGATCGAAATATTTCCGCAGGAATTTTGCCTAAATTCAGACAATAGCGTAAGATCGGAGATTGAGATCTCAAAAAAGACGGAAAATGGGGAAATGGCCTATTTCAAAGCCCTTGATCGGCTTACTAAAAAAAAAAGGAAGAAAATACTGAAGAAATACGACCAAGCCAGAGATTGAAAACTTTGAAGAGAGAGAAAGAATAAGCTCAGAGACTCAGATGGTGAGAGTACCAGAGCTTACAGATTTCTGCAAAAGATCTGGGTTTTCCAAATAATCTGAGAATAAAGAAGTCGCTGAATCAAATCGCGATTAAATTTTCCAGATAGTTTTCGAATTAAACAAGGAGGAAGATTTGAAAGCTGGAGGAGGGCAAGCCTAGAGCAGCAGCTGGACACGAGCCCACTGAACCACTTAAACGAGTTATGAGTAACGAACCTACCAACCCTTCTTCTCTTACCTTTCCTTTGCCTTGTTTCTCACGAACGCACGCCCTACTCTCTCTCTTGTCCTTTTTCCTTTTCTCGTTCTGTCTGCGCCGTGGAATGGAACAGAGAGAAAAGCTTCCTCTGATGTGTACAGAGGATGGGTTAAAGAGCGAGCAAGTTTTTTGCCACGTGGACGGCCATGCGGAGTGGTTGGGTGAGAAGTCGCGAGGTGTTTAAGAACATAAGACATTGTGTAGACTGTAGAGAGGGGCGTTGAAAAAGAAAGCCAACACCACGTCAATCACGAGGGGCGAAGCGGGAAGGAAGAGTTTTCTAATGCTTTGTAGAATGTTTTCAACTTTCCTGTTTCCAATCCATGCGTGATGGTGTCCCCCACTTTTTTATTTATAATTTTCTTTTGCTTTCGTGCAGTGTGCAGCCTTTCAACTTTCAATGTAGCGAAAACCAGAAAGCCAATTGCCGCACTGTCACGGGGGTAGTTCTGCACCGGAAGAAACCCGTGCGGCGTCCTGGCCAAGGCCGGCCAGGACAAGCCTTTCTGCGCGTAGAGGCTAGGAGTTGCCCGATGGGATGACTCCACCAATGTCAGTAGCACTGGATCATGACCTCAAGTCCAATGGCCGGGGCACTCTCCTGGCTCAGACCGGTCCATGGGAGGCGCCGCTTACGTGCTAAAGGGGGACAACCATCAGGGAAGGCGACCATGCGC